CATGGATGGCAGAGGGGACGGAAGAAGAGACAGCTTGGGTAAGTGGAACTAAGGGGCCAAGCTACACGCAAAAAACTTTACAGACTTGCGCTGGAAAATGTTGAGATTTATCAGCCTTTTACACTGTAACACTGAGGTATAATTATTTTTGAGTTTTTGAATCTCGAGCTTAGGCATGAGAGCAGAAGCTAATTATTTGTATTAATTATTGCTATTAATTTTATACTCTATTTTTCCTGGCTATCCATATGTTGCCTAAGCTGTTTGCAACCTGCTGTTTCAGCCCCACTTCGTTTATTCTTCACGTATCTTTAATCACGCTTACGATAATGGTCTACCGTATCCTATGTTTATTAAAGATATGAAAACTAGGATATCAGCTTTGAATTGGATAGGCAAATGCTTCAATTTCAAAAACACTGTAAAGGCAATGCATGCATAGGTTAATCACTAGATTGCTTGAAGATCTGAACACCTCACGGTAAGGCCAACATATACGCAACTAACAGCTGAAGCGTAAGAAAGTTCCATTTCTCTAGTTAGATTTTCAAAAATGTTTGAGATGATACTTTTTTTGAGCTTTAAAACCAAAATTCAGTTATATACGACTAATGCTTGTTTATGTTGTTAGTTCAAGCATCTTGTCCTGCAAATTACTTTCAAAACTGCATTATTTCAAGGAGTTAGATGAGTAAGAAGTATGCAGAATTATAATGACAGAGACATTAGCAGTGGTAGATTTTATGTTCCCCTGGAATCACTAGGAGAATGAATGCTACATTTTTATCACAGAGAGGCAGCAGAAGTATTTCTTCTTGTATTTGGTTTTAATTCTGCATATCTCACATGTTCATAAACACTTAGATAGCTAATGTTTGCAATGACGTGTTGATGAGGTAAGAGACAGACTAATGGACAGTACCTGCAGGGGTGAAGGTGAAGGACTGAACTGCAAAACAAGAAAGCAAACACATTGTGAGTTACACACCCTGATAATAAGCGCTAATTGCAGGGCACGAGTTTCCTCTGAAATTTACTCAGTTGTGGTTGAATATCATAAGCAGGACATAACAGTTGAGCTTAAAGCACTAACCAGCCAGCAGCCAATGAGAAATGATGGTTGGAAAGGTGAGCAGTGAATTTTGACAGTCACATTTGAAGACTTTCTGTGTGGACATGCTGTTCCCCAAATTGTAAACATTAGGATAAATTTTGAAGCATGATCTGTTATGAACTTTCCTTGCTGAAAGCATACACTATTTCATAATTCTGATGATGGGAATTCTGTGTCATGAGGCAAAGTTCGTATCACACTTAGATGCAGCAAACATCATGAGAAGGAATGAGTTGCAGGAGACATGCTGTTTATAATGACTTTTATAATTATTTACAGCTATGCATTTTAAGGTACCAAAGACTTTGCTCTCAATCTCCACCCCCACCCCCAACATGCCAACTCACATACAGAGCTAATAATTCCGCTTTTTAAAAAAAGAGTAGCCTTAGCTTGTGTCCAAAGTTTATGTACAGGACTGTTTCCTAAGAGGAATAACAGTACAGCTGTCTCTTAATATGAAAAGTCTTGGGATCCAGACTGATATTTCATATAAACACATGTGTAGGTGTGTGTGATATATATTAGTTTCTCAATTAACACTACCCAACCTCTTGGAGAGTAAAAGTCATTGCTGTTAAAGGAAAGAAGAAAACAGCTTGGCAAAAAGCATAACCTATGAATGATACAGGCCACGTGGTGACGCAAGGTGAGGTTCCACAGAAACTGAGTCAGTCCAAGAGCCACTGAAAGGGTCTCCCTCTGCTCCCACTGCTCATCTGATTTCTTGGGCTGCCTTGTTTCACTAAGCCAATGGAAAACTAATCCAGCAGGAAGGATTGAAAAACAACATAGAAGTTTCCTTCTGGTTTAGTGAGCCCAGTCAGGACACTGAGGAGTCTGACGATGGCTAATGCCAAGGTGAGGAGGCATAGGACTGTCTGGCCGCGAGCAGGGAATGAACGTTAGTTTCTGGCAAGTTGTTAGAGATGCTCAGCCACTTAGGGAACGCGTGTCCTCGGGTTCGCACGTGATAACTTGTAAATAGAAGAGTACTAGTGTAACTTCAGTGTGATATAATATCAACATTAAATATGCTGTGTCCTCAACTGTGCAAATCTTGCTCAAAAAGGAAATGTTTTCTCTTTCTAAATGTTAATAAGCTCTGCAAGAGAACCTACCCCAATATTTGAAGAACAGCTTTTTTGTGTTAAATTAGGCTTCAGAGTGACCCATTTTATGGTAATTCACCTGACTTCCTAAAACTTCATAAGAATTTTTCTGTAAGCACAGAATAATACACAAAACAAACAGGTTGGGGGAGCAAGAAAATATTTTAATTTGGCAAATGTATTTATTTTTCCCATGTCGTTTTCAAAAACTAATTTGTAACTGGAGCAACACATTTGGTGCAAGAGGGGTCACACTGTGAGGGCATTCCAAGGTGTTCTACCTCCAAGACAAAACTTTTTATGGCTTCTGCCATAGGTGAATTTTGACCAAACTTCTCTGTCTAATACATCACTCCTCCAACTACAGGTATGGAGCCACTGATTAAGTACCTCCGTTCATTTCCCATGCACATGGCTTCAAAGATACAGAAATGCTTGGCAATGAAGAAGGAGAAGACCAAATACTCTTTTTAACCTTCCTTGTGAGGGTCTAGTCTAATTCACATCTGAGCACATAAATGGAGCCGGACCGCTAACAGGGTGCCTTCTGAGCAAGGAGCAAGAGGTACAGTTAATCCTCTTTGTACTTTTTTATGCTAGATGTGCTGGAGATGTAAAAATAAAGACTGTCTTATGATAATGATGAAATGTGGTACCGAGCAATGCATTTAAAGCTTCTCATACACCAGCATTTTCACAGCATACATTTAAAACAAGCATACAAAATTCACCCAGGCCACCTTTGCTGTAAGTACAACACGTTATTTAAGTAGGTTTAACGGCACCTGTTCTCTTCATGATAGAACCTGATGAGATGGTAATAAATAGTTACTGTTCTTACCAGCATAATTGCTGAGCCCCTTCCTCTTCTTTCTGCGCCAGTACAGCCAGATGCTGAAACCCATCAGAATTACCCAACATGCACCACCGATGCCAGCTATAAAGGCAGGCTGTTTGACAACATCAGTGATTTGCTCGGTTATGCTGTTGTTATTTTCAGTGATGACAACTTCGTTACGACCTCCTGCACAAAAGAAATTCAACAGAATGTTATGGATTCTGTAATACAAACAGGAACCAAGTATTGCAAACGAAAATTTAAAAAAAAAACAGTAATGCACCTCAAAAGAATTATCCACAGTAGGAGAGCTTTAATGAGTACCAATGCACACCTTAAAATTAACGTTTCTAGAAAGTAAATCCATAATCCATTGTGATTTTGCAAACATATATTTGAAAAGATAACTCAATAGCACTCTCCCAAGTAACCTAACAGATGACAGTCCAGAGCCTTTTTTTTAACAATATATTGTTTGTTCATTTGTTTTTACATAGTTATAGACAGAATACAATGATGAGAAAATGGATCATAGAAAACCAATTAAAAAAAAAAAATCAAGCAATCAATAAATAGCTTTTCCAAATGAGAAATCCAAATACAAAATATGCTACAACATCAAAAGACAGTTCCTTCTCTCACTGTTGTCAGCATGCCAAAAATTCTTACTTAACTCATTTGTTTTTGCTGCATGCTAGAGTTTCCAAATTTAACATTAAAAAAAAAAAGTGTTTTCAATCGGGGAAAAGATGCATTTTCCAGCAATTATTTCATGGGGAAAACAATCCATACAAATCCTAAGTGCACCAGCTTTGACACAAAGCAGAAAATAGAGTAGTTAACTGTAAGGTCTAAACAATCACATCAACAGATGCTATTTTTTTTCACCTAGAATGGGCATGAAAAATTCTTAACATCAACCTGTAAGAAATAATTATGATATGGAATACCAATTAAAGTGACATGCATCAAAAATTATTATATAGCATCCTAAATTGTGTATATTACATTAGAAAACTGTAAATTTCAGTAGATGGTCCCATTGTTTCCCCCCCACCTCTTTCTCTAAAAGGGAACTTTTCTAAGAGGAAAAGCTTGGTGTCTGGTTTGGAAACAAATGCTCATAAAAAAATGTGAACGGAAATCAGGAAATGCTACAGCATATAATTCTAGGGCCAGCACTTTTCTACTTCAAACCTTCTCTTGTCAAAAATGGTTAGTTTTAAAATTAGGAAATGCGGAACATATTTTTCTGCAAAAAATATGAATATTGATTATATGTGCTTTTGATATAAACTGCCCACATCTGCAGTTTTGAAATTGGTGAAAGAATTGTCCATCATTTCTGGTAAAAGCATTTATATAGCTCAGTCCTTGAAATGTTTACGCAGTATTATCAGATGTCTGTATGCATGCTGAAGAGCTGCAAGAGTAGCTACTCTACTGAGACAAAAAAGATGCAAATACTATGATTCTCAATTATGAGAGCCTATCGCACACACGTAAAGGTAGTAGAATATGGCAATAAAACACTGAAATGGTCATTCAGAGGAAATTATTAAAAGTATTGTAGCATTATGCCTTGCTGTGAAAATGGACGTATTCCTTGTCTATAATTCAGCAACAGTTAAATTTACCGCTCACTTCTTTCAACAGAACACCACCTGCGTCTGCACACTGGCTTCAGCCTAAAGCAAACAAACAAGGTCGTTGGCTAAAGCAGATAGGAGAAGTCTGACACTTCCAGTTTTATTTCCACAGACACCTTCTTGCCCGAGACCCAGCATTTACACCAGTCGAGTTGCGAATAGGGATCCCTGCCAGAGGGCCCGTCGGGCTAGGTGTGCCTTCCCTGCCCCAGCCTGCCCCCCTACCGCGGGGGACCGGCTCTGCCCCAGCGCTGCCCCCGCCAAGACGCAGCTTCAGGCCCTAAGCTGTGTTCAGAGCTGGACTGAGTTCCTCGGGAAGAAATGCGGTGCACTGCATTAGATTGCTATCACACTGTTAATGATCTCGGTGATTTTATTAAGCTTCCTCTCTTTCAGCACCATGTCAATATTTAGTAATGATGACCGTCTGCTTTTGCAAACAGACTGTTGAAACTGTGCTACAGCTTGGCTTGCTTTCAGTAGTTCTGTGCAAGGAACAAAACAGGCTTCCCGCAAACAGAATAGGTCCCACAGAAGGATGCTGACAGACTACGCGTGCTAACGCATAAAAAGGCAGCACACCAGTACTGGTATCCTGTACCAGTCTATACTGGCCACGCTGGTAAGCTTTACTAGCGTCAGGGCCTGGTAGCTGCAGCTGTCCTTTCCCATGCTTTCCTATTTTGTTTTGCCGTCGCCAAAGGCCCGACGGCTTCCAGTTCTGATGCAGCAAGCGAGAATACAACTCAGAGAGCACCTGTGACAAGGAAAAGAAGGGAGGCAGCGGTGGCTCCTTTATCAGATTTCCCCCTGGTTGGCCCACGGAACCAACCCATAGGTGCACCCCAGTGCTGAAAAAGGAAGCGCCGAGAGTAAAACTAATAGAAAGAGGCACTCTACGGCATGCTTTTCCAGGCACGCAATTGATTTTCTAGTAGAAATCAGCATGGGAGTTGATGTTGCTCTAATTGCCATTAACTCAGTTAATTTCTGTGCCCTTTGGAGGCGAGGTAAAAGCAGCGGGACAGTGAGGAAACAGGTAATGTCGGCGCTGCTTCGGAGGCAG